GTCGAGAAGATAAGGGACTTGTTTCAATTGGTATAATAAATAATAAACCTTATTTATTATATTCTTTGAATAAGTTTTCTGCTAATATGTAGATAGATTTTGATATTGTTTTGTTTTTGTCTTTGGGTATATATACTTAGAAAATCATAATTTTCTAACTTTTCGTTATTATATTTTTTTTAGATGCCAAGAACTCCAAAAGAAGAGTTTGTTAAAGAGAAACTTGTGACTCAAGAAACTAGAATACAAGAGCTTCAGGAAGAAGTTGAAAAGTTACAAGAACAAGTGAAGCAACTTAAAAGTGAAAATAGAACTTTGCATTGACAAAAATCAAAGTTGAACTTAGAAGAGGAGGAAGAAGAAATTTGGAAGGAAGTTCGGTCTGTTCCAAAAAGTAGTTTAGATTGGGCTTCAGTTGAATGGGTATTGAATAAAAAGTAGGTCGAGAAAAATCCAGGTGTAGATCCAGGTAGTCCACCAAAAAAAATTAAAATTTTTGTATTAAAATTTTTCTTGTAATAAAAATTTTGTAAATAAAAATTTGTTCGATTAATTTTTAAAATTAATAAAATTGTTCGATAAGATTCTAAACTAATAAAGTATTCTAATTTACTAAAATTTGCAAATTGTTTAAAAAAAAAAGTGTTCGTAAAATTGTTCGTAAAAATTGTATAATTTCGTTGAATCGAATGATCTTCATAATTTTTTTTTTTGTCAAAAATTATAAGTTTTGAAAATTAATGATAAAATAAAATTGAAATGAAATTGAAAATTAAAGTATTCTTTGTCGAATAAAAGTAATACTTAAAGTATATTGAAGGGTATAAAATATAATTACTATTATTCGAATAAATAGTAATATAGAATAAAATTATAAAAGAAGATTGCCAATCAAGTATTTAGCTAAGGCTGTCAAGTTAGGTGCATCCAACCGAATCAGCTTCTTAGTGTGGACTCGAACTATGCACATTCGAGTGGCATAACAGCACCATAATCCATATAGCCATATAGGGACAATTAAAAAATTTTTAACATGACTCCTTAAGACTATTAACAAAATTAACTAATTAACCAATAGAATTTCAAAGTTTAACGTGATTTAAACTTTAAATAAAAAGGATATAATTGTTCGATTTAAATAAATTTAAATTTTTACGAAAAAAAATTTAAAGAAAAAAAATAAAGAAATATGCCTCAAAGATTTAACCAAGAACATATTGCTTATAGGTATTTAAGTGTTTAAAAGAAAATAAAGAAAGTAAAAGAGAGATAAATATTAACTAATTTACTGTTTATAAATTATAGAAGGAATAAGAAGAAAGAAAATATATCGTAAGTAAAAAGAAAATAGGAATAATAGAAGATAAATTATTTATAATAATTTAAAATAGAGGTAAAAGTATTCAAGAAAGTGTAAGAGAAGAAGTTGTTGAAGAAGAAAAGTACTTTTCTTGTGAAGAATATGAAGAAGAATATGAAGATGAAGAATATATTATAGAAGAAAGTGAAGTAGAAAAATTAAAAAGGGAAAATAAGGAGTTAAGAGAAATTATCGACGAACAAAAAGAACAATCAACAGATGTTGTAGCAGTAAAATGGGAATGAGAATTAAGATATAATAGAATGAGGGAGGAACGAGATAGGTTGAGAGCCAGGTTGGCTGATAAGGAGATTGTAATCGAGAATTTTAAGAAGAAATCAAAGAAATAAATAAAATTTAAAATTTTTTTCTTTAAGATTTTAAGTATTTAAGATATAATAATAAAAATTATTTGTTTTTCAAAAAAAAATAGGGTTAAAGAAAATCAAGAAGATATCGATAAAGAAATTCAAGAAGTTAAAGTATTAAAAAAGAAATTAAAGAAGCTTGAAGAAATAATTGACAAAAAGAATATAGAAATGTTAGAAAGTAATCGACAAAAATATGAGTTGGGAAAAGAGTTTGAAAATGTGTTTGTTGAAAGAGAAAGGTTAAAAGTAAGATTAGAAAATTTAGAAGGGGAAGTAATTAATTTGAATAGAAATATAGATAATTTGTATAATATATATTGTAAT